GCTAGTTGGCTTTCTTACTCCGTAGTTTCCCAAAATTCTTTTCTCCATGACATCTCCCATTCATTCTCAGATGTCACTTAATGTCTCATAAAAACAAATAGTATTTATCATGTAGGGAATTCTTTGATTTCCTATTCCTACATTCACAAACTTGCATGCACATATTTCATCCTCTCCTTTTGTCCTCGCACATTCCTAGAAGTATCTGGCTTCCTCAGTGACCTTGCTCAATGAGTCATCCTTCCATGAATTACATCTTCATATTTTAGAACTCTTTCCTGGCTTCTTCCTATTATGACCAATTATTCCCCATCTTAAAAAGTAGTAAATCAATCAGTTTCATTTTCCATTTGTTTTTTCCTACTCTTCTTGAAAGCCAAATTTGTTTCATTTCTGGCATTTGTTACATGCACTTCCTTACATGCACTGTCTTCATTCTTCCCCTTAAAACTGCACCATCAGATTGACTAGTGATCTCTCTGCAACTAAATCCAATGGCTTCTTTTTAGGGCTCATCTTACTAAATAGGCTTCTTTTGAAATACTTTCTCTCTTTGGCTTCTTTTGGAAACATTAGATTCTTGATTTTCCTGCTATGCCTTTAGTTGTCTTTTCCAATCTTTATTTTAGGCTCCTTGTTCTTAAATTTCTTTTTTTTTTTGGGGGGGTGGCCATTTTTTTTTTCAAGGATCTGCCTACTTGCCTTTGTTCGAAGCACATTCCCTGGGTGACATGTCTTAATTCCAAGATGGTCACTCCAAAATCCACCTGTAGCTAAGAGCTATCTTCTGACCTCCAGACACACACATCCAAATACTTATCATCTCCATTTGGTTGCCTCATAGATACTTCGAACTCAATATGTACAATACTGAACTTGGCCATTTCCCTCTGTTGTATTAATTAATGTATTAATTAAAGTATTAATTAATGTGTTAATTAATTTAAGGGGGTTTTGGAGACATGTTCAGGAGGTTAGCTTAGGATGAGATGCCACTCCCCACTGCTTCCCTGGTTGCAAGTCTCGTGGGGTCCCTTAGAATTTAGGGATATCTGCCTATGGGGGATGGAGAGGGGTAAGGGAATGGCATAGGCATGCTCCCCTGTGGGATAGCATGCCTTTCCTCTGGATTAGATCCTTGAAAATGACATATCAGGCCATTGAATTGACAGGAACTTAACTCTTCTCCTTCTATCTTGATATCCATTTAGTTACTAACTTACATATTGTACTTCCTTAAAATGTCACAAATTTGTCAACTCTCTATTATCATTTCCACAACTTGAGCACATGCCAACTTGATTTCATGCTTGGACTCCTGAGTTCTGGATCCCCCCTTTTCTAGTTCTGTATGTCTCCAATGCATTCTCTGCCCTATATCTGGAGTGGTCATGTCACCCTCCAACTTAAAAACTTTTCGTGTTCATCTATTACCACCTGGATAAAGTTCACGTTACCATTTCTGATGATATGGCTCCAGTTTATTTCTCCAGACTCATTTTCTCTTCTCTACTCCCCATCTCTCATTATGTATCCCTGTCCTGTTGAACCATCTGTAGTTCCAAGAATTTGTCATACTCTGTACCCAAGAGTCCTTTCTGTGCTATCTACTTAGTCTGAAACGTTTCCGCTCCAACTTATTTTTTACTTGGTTAATTCCCATATACCCTTATGTCTCTGTTTAGATGTTTCTTACACTTTCAAAAACTTCTTCTACCGTATGTTAGTTGTTTCTTCTTTGTGCAACCATAGCATCTTGTAATAAGAATAGGTACAGTTGTTACTATAACATTTGAGCACTTATTTTATGTTAGGATCTGTTTTAAGCAAGCTATATATCTTAACTTGCCTAATTCTCACAATAGCCATATTAAGTAATTACTATTAATTCCTCAAATAAGCTATCTAAGGTACAGAGAAATTAGGTAATTTTCCAAGGTTCCATGACTAGTAAGTTACACAAGTAGTTTCTGAACTCAGGTATCTTATTGGAGAGTTTACAAAAGTGAACAGCATATATTTGTTCATATGGAAGCTCTGAAGACATTGTATTGTAATTACTATTTGTAACTAACTTCCTAATTGGATCTTAGGTTCTTAGAGGGAAGTTGCAAATCTAACACCCAATACAATAATGGCCACTCCCAATAAATATTATTTGAATAAAAAAAAGATGATATGTGACTCAGAGAGGAAAGATTCCTACAATCAGATTTGCCCTGACCTAGTCTCAGTGTCCACCATTGTGACATTTTGCTCTGAGAAAGACAAATGACTTGCTGTCATCTAGTCACCCCACACTGTTTCCTGTCTCCAAGAGTTTACATATCTTATCTCATTTCCCTCCTGAATCTTTCCCACTCTTGTCTAACCCATCAGCTCCTATTTGTTCTTCCAAATCCAGCTCAGAATTTTATTCCTGAGGGTTTCTGATCTTCTTTTCAGAGTCTAGATCTTAGTTCCTCCATATTTTATACACTTAACCATCACAAACAACATTATTAGACCATGATTTTTTTTTTAACCAGGGGTCTATTTTGTATTCACTGTGTATCCCCAGTACTTGAGTAAAGCACCTAAGACTCAGAAGGTAATCAATAAATATTTGATATATTGATTATGTCTCTGTAGATTACAAAGCAGATATTTTCAACTCTGATACATTATGATAATCTAGTGGGTTCCTACACTGTCAAAGAATTGGTTACTACTTGGGTTGTCAAATATTGATATACTGGGAGATATGGGAAGGAAATATGACAACACCTTTGCCTGCTTCACTTTCCTGATTTTCCCAAGGGTTGGGCAAAGGATACTCTATTTTTCAAAAGTCACTCACATTGTGCCCACCAGACAATTTATAAACATTTTAAAAAGGTAAGTTTATTTTCCTTTACAGGTAGACCAAAGAGGCCAAAGAACTCTGTGCAAATTTATCAGATGTCAAACCACCAATTAAATCTTATCAGGGGAAAACAACGGTAAAGTCCTGTAAATTGTTCTTGTTCCTGTCACTTCTATATTAGTGCCTTCTTTTGTATTCCACTGATGGGATCATAGCACCTTAAAAAAATATTAATGATAGCAATACCAGGGCTTTCTAACTGTTCTATGTGATTACTGTTTCTTGTTGCTTAAGCACACGCAAAAATGCCAGATTACATTTCTTAAGGCTCTACTTTAATTGAGTCATTTCTCAGCTCATGAAGTCTCAGTGGCAGCTGTCCATGGAATTAGGTGAGAACTCCAAGCCAGATGTTCTGCTTCAATTCATACGCATTGATCCTGACCCATGGCTGATACCTAGTAAGTGCTTTTGATGTTTTCATTGCTCTTGTGTGTCTCTGTGTGTGTGTTCTTAAAAGTGAAATCAGGACACCTAGTAGAAGGAAAGTTTCAGTTTCTGTCTTTCCTCACTATTAATATTGGTGAATTTTCAAGAATAGGTGCCTCTTGTTAAACAAAGATGCCATATGTTAAACCAAGTAAAGGCTATATTAAACAAACTATGCCAAAGGAAACACATTATGATATGGTAGGATACACACTTTGGGGGAAGATAAGTGATGTTTTAATTAATGACCATTTATAGAGCTCTTCAAAAAGAGCGAAGTGGACCTGGCTGGTGTTGGTCAGTGATTAGAGTGTCAGCCTGTGCATCATTGATTCCTGGCCCAGGGCACATACCTGGGTTGCAGATTTCATACCTGCCCCTCTCTCCCCCATCAGTCAGGGCGAGTGTGGGAGGCAACCAATCAATGTGTACCTCTCACATCAATGCCTCTCTCTGTCAAAGATCAATGGAAAAATATCCTCAGTCCTTGGGTGAGGATTAGAAAAAAAGTGATTTCACAACTGAAAGCTAACTCATTGTTTCTCAACTGAACTTGTAAGATGAATTTTCAGCCATGAGCACCATTAAACAAGTCCATCAGACATAAGGAAAGGATTGCCCTTGAGATGCTAGGTCAGGCAAACCCAGAGGCCAAGAGCATGCTGTTCTCTATTTGAAAACCGCTGCTCAGTGGCCATGCTCTACCCACTGATGGGCGCTCCTGGCCTTCATCTCTTGCTTTAGATTGTATGTCCTCATCATCTAATACATGAAAGGATCAAAGAGTTCAGAGATCTTTAGGCTGCCAGTATTTTATTTAGGTAAAAACAAATCAACAAAAGCAAAAAATTATGCCCATTACCCTCTTGCAAGAAACCAAAATTCAGAGTTAAGAAAGCACAAGATCTGTGCAATCAAAATAAAACCCCACCCTTTCACATACCCATCCCCTACTATAAACTGCACCACCAAAGTATATGAAACAACTTAAATATTGCTAATAGCAATCCTCAAGATGCGAATGTACTCTCAGATCAATCTCTGCCACTTTGCTGTACAAGTGGGACATTGACAGCTTCTCTTTCAATATCCAAAATACAATTTTTGGAACAAATCTGAAGTTTTGATTCATTCAACAAACAATTATATTGAGCACCTACTATGGGTGAGACACTACACTGGGTGTTGAGCAAGCAAAATGGGATGATTTTCTGATTTCAGAATTCTGGTCTCCAAAGCAGTGCTTCTCAAACTACATTTTATTAATTTGTGCCCTCCTTTGATAAACATAAATGTCCTCTCCCACTTCTCAGAAATTCTGATGAACTCTCCCACACTGAGACCCTCTGATACACAGAACATAGACTCCACATTCTGTGTATCCTTCACAGACCAAATGTCTTTGAGCTTTTACTTTTTATTACAAAAGCAACATATTTATTTTTCATACCCAAAATTGGACTGAACTATTAAATACATTTTTGAACCATGCTCTGCCCACTCCCTTTGCCCCATCCTACCCCCTCCCCCCCACCCCGGAACTGAAATTTACATTCCTTGTACCCAGCCCCATTGAGAATCACTGCTTTAAAGAGTTTTGGAGAAAACCAGGCAACTTCCATCTCTCCCCACCAATCAAGTCTGAAAGGAATTAGAATTTTCCTACCTGACACAACAGCTGGTGGAGTATCATAATCCTGTCTTGGGACTGAATCTTTGAATGAAAAGAGCATGAGAAAGAATGCAATGAAGTACAAAAGAAAATAAAACAGAATCTTAGCTCTACATCTTGGAAGTGCCCACTCACTGTATGTCATGAGGTTGCCTAACCCCCCTACCTCCAAGTTCTTCAGGCACTATGACCCTTACCCAGTTTACAGTGGTTACAATGGTCACCATAACCACCACACTGGACATGGTGTTAGGTTCCACCTGCTAGGACAGTACACTCCGTCCTAGAAAATTATCATCTTCCTCAGTCTGTCATTACTTTGGTCACTTCTATGGGGTATCAATATGAAATCTGTACCCTCTCTGACCCAAAAGTTCTACAAGGCAGCCCATCTAGAAGGGGCCCAGAGCACAATATGAAACCAAGTCCTGGAGAAAAAATAAAGAATGGAAAATTTGAGATCAATAAAAAATGTGCACATTTCCATACTCCATGGGGGCTGATGCATTTCGATCACTCAGCTTCGACTCTGATCCCAATGGTTGTCTGTCCAGACCAAGGAGTTTTGCCGGCTGGAGCAGTGAGAGCAGAGACAAGTAGGACAATCTACTCAGCAATGATTGCTGTCTTTTTCCTAAGTGTTGTAACATTGGAGGTAGCAAATATTAGGAAAAGACTAATTAAACCACATGGCATCCGTTTCAAAATTTAGGGTTATATGGGACCAAATAGATCTGTTTTTTTGTGTTTTTGGTTTTTTTTGAAAATGAGAAAGAGGCTTTGGTTTAGTAAATTTCTTTAGCCAGAGATCTAAAAAAGGAAAGTTGGATCTGGCCTATGGCTCAAGGCCCCTCCACCTCCCCACCCCCCTTTAAAAATGGAAAGTTCTAATCTAGCCCAATTCCCCTTGGAGGGGTAAACTGTGCGAAAAGACCAAATATCGATCACATTCAAATAAACTGCCAAAACACGGTTACATAGATGGTTCTGTGATACCCTTATTCCATTTATATGATCATTATTTCTTTAAAAAACTAAAATCTCAAACTTCCTTTTTCCATTGACTTGAAAACTTCATTTGGACTATCAGACATTTCTCCATTTAATCTCCTTGCCACAAAAGGAATATGTTAACCACTTTCTCATGAGAAGACAGATAAAAATATTGGTCAAAGATTCAAAAGCAAGTAAACCTTAGGCATGAGTCATTTTGCTTCTCGCAACAGGTATGTGAACTAGTGAATTGATTATCATCACCAAAGCTAGAATAAGTAGAATCATTTTTATAGGGTCTCCAAATATGTTCTTAAATAGTGGTAGTAATTCCTAGTTCCTTTTTAAAAACTGCAATCACACATTACTACAAACAAACAAACAAACAAAAAGTTAATTTTAAGATCATGCCACTAGTCATTTTTCCACAAATACACTTATATTAAAAATAAATAAAAGTAAGTCATGCTTATTGTTGTATACTTGGAAATGTATAGAAATATGATTAAAATAGGAATGACCCCCTAATCCCATCACCCAGAAATAACCACATTTGTTTTGTATTTCTGTAGCCTTATTTCATGAATATTTTTTCATGTTTGATACATATGTAAATTTACATCCTGCTCATAATGATAGCTCATCCTTTTCCTACTTGGTTTAATTTCTTATAACTCCATGTAGTATTGCATTCTGATTTGTGGATGGCTTATGGTTTAACATTCTTCTTCATTGGCTTATGGTTTAATCATTCTTTTTCATTAGACATTAAAACGAACACTAGCTTGAACACTTTTGAGGTATAAAGGCTTTAGTGTTACTTTAGAATATTTCCATAAAATAGCTTCTAAAACTAAAACTTATTGGTCAGTCATCAGAGCTGTTTTAAAATGTCTTGACTGTCCACCTTCTATCCAACTGGGACTTTTACAAATTTAGATCCCTGTCATCACATAATGAGAATGTTTATTCCTCACACCTTCATCAGCAATGCATATTATTTTTATAACTGTATTTAATGGATCAATGTGTGTATGTCTCTGTGTGTATTTGATTAAATTACTATTTATTTCATTATTATCTTTCCATGTTTTATGGCATTCTATTTCCTCTTTTACCAACTATATATTCACATTGTTTTTTATCTATTGGGCTCTTGTACTTTGTTGCTAATTTATTTGAAGTCAGAAAAAATATTTAAGCAGCAAAAACAATATTTGCAATTAAACTTTCATAATACTAGACTTTCACTTAATGCCTCTTCACTTTTTGTTTAAAGCAGGGGCACTCAAACTTTTTAAACAGGGGGTCAATTCACTGTCCCTCAGACCGTTGGAGGGCTGGACTATACTTTTAAAAAGAAAACTATGAACAAATTCCTATGCACAGTGCACATATCTTATTTTGAAGTACAAAAACAAAATGGGAACAAATACAATATTTGTACTTGCATGTGGCCTGTGGGCCGTAGTTTGAGGACCCCTGGTATAAAGACTACCTTCAAAGTTTATTTATCTTAGAATAAGACTAAACAAATTTAAAAAGCTATTCCCTTTTGTCTATATTTTCAGTCTTATATTTGACCGTTTTTAATTAATCGACACCTTTTCCTCAAAAACCATTTGAGGAGATATACTCATTGCCATTTGTGAATTTATGATATTATTTTCTACTCATGAGCCCATTCAACACTATGTGTTGTTCTTTATTACTCTTAGCCCTAATACTGATATGTAATAATTAAAAAAGATAATCTCTGAGCAAAATTAGTAATTCAACATTTTAGAGTAATAAAGGAGAAATGGTATGACTGAAAAAATGTCAGGGAACTACATGCACAAACGGAGTAGAATTACAAGATTATCTTTGTGAGTGGCTATGGTTACACCATGGAATCCAATGATGTCACAAATCACCAGTGGTTTGGAGAATACAAACAGAACTGCAGATAAGGAGCCTGCAGAACAAAAACTTTTATTTCTTTCAACAGATTCCGGTGACATTGTAAGCCACTGGTGACCACCAACTGAACAAATGAAAATGAGATAAGAAACTTGTAAAACAAGATTGTCATGCAATTTGGAGGTTCTCGTAACACAGTAAAATCCCCAGTGATTTTGGCTAAAGCTTACAATACAGTGATAAGAAATGGTCGTTAACAGGGCTTTGGTTCTATCCAGGGACTCCTATGACAAGAAAAAAAAAAAAGTGGAAAAGCTAGAAAATTCTCCAAGGTCAGCAGAGCCCTGGAATAAAACAGTTATTTTATTTCTTTTACATCTGGGAGACTCTATCTAGCTCAAAAATACGTAGAGAATTGAACAGTAAGCATTTGCGATGGCAAATGGTAGAGAAAGGTTAAACTACCTGGCTTCCATTTCAAAATTGGGGGTTACAAGGGACCAAATATATCTACTTTTATGAAGATGAAAAAGAGGCATTTCAATAAGCTTCTTTACCCAAGGATCTTAGAAAGGAAAGTGGGATGTGGCCTATGGACTAAGGCCTCCCCGCCCCCTCTTCTAATACTGGAAAATTCCAATCTAGCTCCAACTCCCCATTAGCCCTGAACCACTGCCTACTGTAGATCATTCACTGATCTCTCTCTGCTCTTCCCCTGGAGCCTATCTGTTTCTGGATGGAGGCTCCTGTCTTTATCTTGACTCATCACTGCTCACATCTTGTTTGCAGAATTTCAGTGAGCATAGATGTTTGAAAGCCTCTGAAGTTACTGGTAAGAGAGACACATGATCAGATAATTTTAGATTGACTGGCTGTGGCGACATGCTGGAGAATGGATTGGAGCCCATTGAGACAGGAAGCAGGAAGAGCAGTTAGGAGACTATGATAAGTAATCAAGTGAGACCCAGGGCAGAGCCTAGAAGTGTGGAGGAAGGGATGTATCTGACAAATGTCTATGAGACTAAATTGATGGGAATTGAAAAGTAATTGTATATGGTGCTGAGGGAGAAGGAAAGAGTCTAGGCTGAGTTCTAGGATTAGCATTTAACAAGCAGAGCATAAGGGCATGGATATGGCTTGAGAGGAAATAAAAAGCAGGAATATGTAAGTGGAAGGGCATCAGTGGGGAAAACACCTGGGGAAGCTAATGCGATTAGTTTGAGTCATGCTGACTTTGAGATATCAGAGGGCGATTTACATGAGACAGTTAGCAAATAGTTGGAAAAATGGGTCTAAAAATGTAAGATGATGTTAGCACTGAGGACTCAGATTTAAGAGTCTTTGGCATAGCAAGCAGAGTTCAAAACCATGAAAGTAGATGGCATGGCTTAAGGAAATCATGTATTAATGAGAAGTTAAAAAAATGGAACCCTGTCTGAGCAGCCTGTGAAAGAACAGAAGCAGCAATGGCCAGAAGAGTCAGAGGAGACCTAGGAAATCCCTGGGCAGGAGTCACAATCTGAGAGCTTTTAGGGCAAACTGGGTTCAATATTCAAATACAGGGAAATGTTCCATTAAGATTTAAATATTTAATTTATCTGAAAAAATTGGAAGGGGAGGCCACCGTAGGTCTGTATGCCTCTGTAGCAATAGCGACCTGGAGTCGAGTAGTGGCTGCCTTCCTTAGAGGCAACATCATGTTCGAGGCTGCCAAGGGTGCCACCTCCCCCTACTGTTCACCTAACTCTCAGGCAGAGAGGTTATTAGTATTGCATGAAAAATATCTCTAATTTAAGATGTCATCTTCACTATCAAGTATATTTATAGTACATGAGAGGTCAATGTAGACCAAAGTTGATTCTGTACTTCTAGGGTTTTTGCTTGAATCAGCCAACTTGATTCATTAATGTGACTTGGCTGGCCTCTAGAATTTTTGAGTTTACAACCTTGGAAGAGTATGTTAGGCGCTAAGGAAGTGGAAACGTGAAAAAGAAATGTTATGCCAAACGAAATAGAGTAGGCCAGTGTGTTGTGCTGTGAACTTGTTAATTTCCTACATCCCTTCTGGTGACTTGGACTAGATTCCTACCAGTTGAAGCCACTGGATATAGGCGGGTAAGGACAGCTCATTTGATAAGCATCTATCTGCCAGATTTCACACTGTATTAGGAATGTCACATATGTCATTGCATTTAACGCTGGCAATTCCCCAGGGATGTAAATGTTATTTTTCTACTTTGTAGGAGAGGAAATAAAAGTTCAGAGAGGTTAAAAAACCTGCCTAAACGTGCATAGCTAATAAGGAGCTGAGCTGGACTTTGAACTTAAGTTTGATCCCAATGTCCACTGTTCTTTCCGTGACAATAGGCAATCTTCCCAGCAATAATAAAATACATTGAAAAGGAGCAATAGATGGGAAAATCTGATAGCCACTCCACATACCAATCAAAAATTCACATAAAATGAATCTATGATGGCATGTTGAAGTACAAGAGTGACAGTTCAAGAAAAATGTATACCGGTATTCTGGCACTAGATATAGTGGTATTTTGTTGAATAAATCAACAAAGTAATATTGTTTTCTTTCTGCCTTTCCGGAACCTTATGAAATTTCAAACCTTTGCAAAACATCAATTTATACAAAGTTTATAATATACATAAACATTTTTTTTTTAGTACAAATGTGAAGGGAAAAAAGAATGGGAGGAAAAGCTACAGAAAATTTGGTATTAAAAATAAACCGCAAATTTTAAACTTTTGCTAAGAAAGGAATGGCATGTATATCATTCTTGAATAATTTGCCCATTTCCAGCTATGTAAAAATAGTGATCTTATACATACATGTGTTCTTGTTGAAAATGCTTAAATACTAATCATAATATATGTTATTGAATCAATAACTATTATAATCCCAAATCTGCTCTTCATGTTGTAGTTTACTTTTTCAATTCCCTAAAGGATCCAGTCCCTTGTTGAAAATGCTTAAATACTAATCATAATATGTTATTGAATCAATAACTATTATAATCCTAAATCTGTTCTTCATGTTGTAGTTTATTTTTCAATTCCCTAAAGGATCCAGTCAGATTCTCAATTAAACTTAGCTCTTATGTTTTTTTCTAGTTTGCAAATTTGAACTTCAGCAAGTCAGCTGGCTTTGCTTTTGATTCAAATGACTAGGATTTATAAAGTGTTTCTTGCTGGGCTTTGCATTATAACTCCCTCTCTTATCAGATTCCAGATTGTTATTCAATATAATAAGATCGCAATACTTCACTTATTGAGAATTTATGATCCCTTAAGGAGATTAAGGCTGACATGAACGAAATCAATAGTGGGCACATGAGAAACTTGGGGCCTCTCAACACTTCATGGAGTCTGTTTTGCTGGAAAATGAGCAAAGAAATGACAAATAATCCTTAACACAGTGCTAAAAGCTCCAGAAATATTATCTTCAAATTGTATCTCTCTGATGAACAT